CTCAAGAAGCAAAATCATGTTATGAATCAAAAATTCAGAAATTAAACAAATACCTAATTCAAAGTAGCAAAACAAATTCATTAATTTAGTACAATTACTAATGCAGATAGATATTTAGGCATTTGTATGGATAACATAATTACATATAGGTTTCTCACCTGTTGGCGATGTACCAAATTCTTTACGCCCTAATACAAAATTTTGTTGCGAGGCGACAAATGCTTTTGCTGTGTAACTTTTACTGCTTTCAAATTAAGTCTCCTTACCTTACCCCTAAAAAAAAAAAATATGTTACTACATTGAAGAATTATATATTATTAGTAGGATAATGTGTACTTACTCGAAACTGTGTGGCCCTTGCAGAATTTGTACTGGTGACAGCTGTAAAAGGGCTGTCCAGAATATCATCTATGCACATAAATACAAACGTACCTTTAATTTTTTTCGGGGTACACAATTCAGGTGCCTTTCGAGCTGAGTGATTTGTGCTGCTCTCCCTGGAAAGAGTGTCTTTGGAGCCTAAAAATGGATAGGTTGCTAAATTTACATCTCACTTTCTTACAATTAGTACTCACCCGGAACTGTGGCGATATTTAATGTGCCATGAACATATTCGAGCGATGGTCCAGGAATATCGCCCGGTTTGACTATGGGTTGCACTAAGCGTCTTTTGCCAGGAAGCTATTCTCTATGGAAGCAACACCTTGGAAACCTTCGAAATGTATGTAGTATGTAGAGCGAATAATGTATGTAGTAATCTTGAAAACCAGACATACTAGTCTTCTAGGAAATGAACACCTGAAAATATTGTGTTATAATTTCAATACGAAAAATATATGGACCATGCACCATGTTGGCGTCCTCCAGAAATCAATATTTAAATAATTCTAGTAATGCGAAAGCTTACCGTTTAGAACAAATATCATCGCACTGATAGGCACACAACAAGGTCTAAAACTCATGTTTTAATAAATTATTGGTCGCAGAAAGCAAACAACTTGAGCAAGAAACAACGCCTTTCCCTGATACCGAAAATGACGCCTCGCGAAAAATGCAAATCAGCACCCACGGCGTAAAGCTTCTAGGCCTTGTTCTATGCTGTAAACGTCGCCATGGCGCCTCCTCGGGGATGTTCCGTTCATTTATGAGTAAGTTGCCTCGTAAGCAGGGCCTAGGAGGCGCTAACGACAATCAAAATCTTTGTCTGACCTTGATTTGAGTGAGGCCCCCATGTTGTTGACAAGTTCTACAAATGACAGGAGCAGCTAAACAAAGGACAAATCCAACGTTGCCATTTACCACGATTGGTCATTTCTAATCTAATCCCACTTTTATTCGTTGGCAGTTTAGACAAGGAAAGAACTAGTTTTAGCAATGAACTGTATACAAGTAATAAAAGAATATTGACCTTTTGTCTGCCACAACCTTTATGGCCACAAGTGAGGCCAGTACATTTTGGTCCCACGAACAGGATTTGACCAATCTCAGAAAAGTGCCACCCCAACACTAGTTTTAAAACATTTTCGGAAAAAAAAATTATAATGGCTACAAGTGCTCTAAGATAAATGTATGGATTCGACCACACTCGGGCCTTTCCCTAGAAGGAGATGGAGTGTTTTGCAAACCTTGCGGCAAACCGGTAAGTGTAATATAAATTTTTTTAAAGTGGAATTTTCTATTATTAGTCTGTTTAATGTCCAGATTTCATGTACTAAAAAGTACTTTATTGATCAACATTGTGGAACGCCTCTTCATAAAAGGAATACTGAACAGACTAACTCGACTAGATTGTTTCAAACTCCTCTGAGAGAAAGTTTAGGCTGTTCAAAAAAAGCGCAGGAAGACAATTTTAAATTTGAATTATGTCAGATGATGGTCGCAACTAGCATTCCTTTAAATAAAGTTAATCATCATAGTTTTAAAGCTTTTTTCAAAAATAAATTTAATAAATCTGTGCCGGATGAGAGCCCATTGAGAAAATTAACTCTAGACAAATGTCATATTGAATGCATTTCAAAAATTAAGGCAGAGTTGGAGGGAAAATGTTTATATATTATTGTACGTATGCGGCAGATATATAGCTAATTTGATGGTTGGGATTTTGAGTGAAATTTTTTCAAACAGACCTTATGTAATTGCTGTTAAAGAATTAGAAAAAAACTAACAATTTAACTATTAGTAGATTTATACAGGACAGTTTAACAAACCTTTTCTTACCCAATGCCATCCCAACCAATAAAATAATATTAATACTTTCAGATGCTGCGGCATATATGTTAAAAGCTTTTTTTTATCCTAGCTTAATTCATTGCACTTGCGTTGCTCACGGCGTGAATAGAATTGCCGAGGAAGTACGAAATCAGTTTCCCCTGGTCAATGATTTAATAAATTTTATGAAAAAAGTTTTCTTGAAGGCTCCATTAAGAGTACAGTTTTATAAAGAAACACTACCCGGGGTCATTTTGCCGCCTAAACCAGTAATTACACGATGGGGAACTTAGCTTGAAGCAACATTTTTTTTATTATGAACACTTCAGTGGGATAGAGCTAGTGATGTCAGAACTTGAAAGTAGTACTTCCGCAGCAGTTAGAGAAGCCAACAGGATTTTGAAAGATCCAAAACTAAAACAACAGCTAGCTTATATAAATCAAAACTTTAAAGTAATTGTAAAAACTGTTACTTTGCTGGAAAGACAAAACATATCTTTATCTGAATCAATTGAACTAACAAATAACTTAAAGGTAACAATTAATTCAGCACCCGGAAGCATTGG